GGAAGGCTAATTTTTTACTTCAAAAATTAACATTCTGCTATAAACTTTAGTTATCTTTAACACAATGATCTTTCATAGGTGGCTACTTGCTCTCTACCTTGGTTTCTTTTTTAGAAGACACTTAGGAAGCATGGAAAGTTACCATATACTTATAGTTTTGGAAGTTCCTACAAGAGGTTAGGGACCAAAGATCAATCGTGTGAAAGTGATTTAGATTTTCTAATCAGTATCATTAGTAGCACAGTTTTCAAATTTTTCTCTTTAAAAATATGTTTTTAGGAAAGTCTAGACATTACCACACAGACACAAAAATAGCCAAGCTAAATTACTATTTTCAAAAGTGACAAAGAAGAGGGAAATGGCTAGTATACATTTCTAGAAAGAATATTTTAAAATCTGAATAGTCACTAACATAACATCATCATGCTCTATTAAGAAACTTCCCTCTTTCACAGTTCATACTTCAAGTAATCATCACATAAGATTTATATTTTATATAATTCTTAGTGTATCTTATAGGCACAGCTTTTACGATTACTAAAGGATTGTTTAAAAGTCTTAAAAAACCATATGATAAATCTAAACTCCTTTAACATGACCTGTAAGAGTTTTCAAATTGTGGCACAATATGTACCTTTCTACTCTGATCTATGATTAACTATTTCACACTCATCTTTTGTTAAAATATTTTTATATACAAATGACCACATGTGAATAAGTTTAATTTTTTAAACTTTCATAACTGGGATATGAACTATTGTTTTGTAGGCAATGGGAATGTGCATCTTATATAAATTCTATTCTTACTAAACAAAAAAAAAGTATCACTGGGAGTAAAGTAGAATATTTAAATAAAATTGTCACAGTAATCATCTTTATCTCATTAAAAAAAAATTCTCCTGAGACTTCCCAAGAGAGATGGATATTAAAGAATGGCATATGCTGAGTATTAAGCCAATAATTTTTGTAACAAGACTGATTTTTTTTAAAAATACCAAATACCCTAAACAGATCCTCTAAAAGCTATTAAAAGTAGGAAGTTTTGTTATTTTCCATAATAAAAGATATGAGGAAATAGGAATTTCAATAAGATGTTGGTCTTAGGAGTTACTAACCACCACAATCTTTACATGCATTTGGATAAGAATGAAAATAATGATCCACAGTATTGCTTCCCTGGTGGTTTAGATTCTCGCCTGCTACGTGGGAGACCTGGGTTTGATCCCTGGGTTGGGAAGATCCCCTGGAGGAGGGCATGGCAACCTACTCCAGTATTCTTGCCTGGAGAATCCGCATGCACAGAGGAGCCTGGCAGGCTACAGTCCATGGGGTTGCAAAGAGTCAGACACGACTGAGCGACTAATCACAGCAAGGGACATCCACCGTGTCAGAGTAAAGCCTATCCACTCCTTATAGGCAGTTTTCAACTTTCCATTTATTTCACTGCCATAGTACCTCTCCTCTCAAGAGATGTTCATAAAATGCACAGGGTCAAGCACAGTGCCTGGTACATAGAAAGGGATTCAATATTTCTGAATGAACAAATTATTGAATGAATAAATAAAATGGGCTCTCATACTCTCCCTGCTCTATCTGAGGTAAGCTATTATGCCTATTTTGTATTTTGGCATGTCTCCTTGTCAATCATGATGTTATTTCCTTTCCTTTTTCCTTAGAAAAGCTCTGGTTATTCTTTCTTCCCCTAGAGATCTAGAATCTGTAATTACTCTGATCTCAATTGAAACTCCTTATTAAACAATAAAGGAGACTCTTTCCCTGGGTCTTCCAGTCTCTAGCACGCCTCTCCTGAGGCACAGAGACTGAAGCTAGTTGATAATACACGAAAAAACTCCTGAAAAGCAAGTTCTGCTGCCAGATTATTTGACTTCCTCACCCACCACAACTTACAAGTATTGCCTTCATAGGCAATTTTGTTCCAAAATATTTATCATTATACCAAGCTACTGTAGCTTATTTCATAACAATAGGGGAAATATTCACAAAAAAGACTGAGCATTATACTATGGGTCATAAATTGAGTTCAAACACTTTGTGTAAAATGCCAGACTATTATTCTAGCACATCTATGATCTAGCCTAACATGTATATTCTTGGACTTATAAATTAGTTTTCTATGGCAAGTAAAACTCCATGTAAAATGAATTCTTTATAATAAAGATTTTATGATGTCTGAAGTGCTATGAAAAATCAATTGTACTTCTTACAGTAATCTTTGCCAGAAGTCAGTATTGGTAGAATCCTTTTATAGTTTAACCACTTAGTGATAGCTCAGTCAGTAAAGAATCTGCCTGCAGTGCAGGAGACCTGGGTTCAATTCCTGGGTTGGGAAGATCCCCTGGAGAAGGAAATGGCAACCCACTTCAGTATTCTTGCCTGGAGAATCCCATGGATAGAGGAGCCTGGGCTGGGCCTAGTGGCAAAACTGTCCCCATTACTGAATCCAGAAAATGACTGAACATACATTTCCTATCTTGATTAGACTCCTAAGCCCATGCTCCAGCCTCTCCTCTCCCTCAACCAGACAACTTCATTAGGACACGGCAATGTGTCTTCTGGCTAACATTGTAGAAAGGAGAAAAACTTCAAAGCACATTTTTCCCCCTGCTTTCTTGGTAATGCCAAAATGTTGCCTTTCACTGTACTTCTACCAACCAAAAACCCAATTCAGCAACATTTACAGAGGTTTTTTCTTCATGTTAAAGCAGTAAGTCAGGTGCTATGGATACAAATAAAATATAATCAGAGACTGCCCTCAAGCAATCCAACAAACAGGAAATCCTCTTGTGAACCACAAATGCTATCACTAATACTCAGTAAGATTCAAGGGTGTAAATTTTGGTAGAGGGTATATATGATACCTTATTCCTTTTTATAACGTTAAAAAAAATCTGTGAAAAAGAGGGGTAAAGACAATTTGGTAAGAACAATATACTTCAAACATTTAACCCAAATCATCAATGGATTTCCCATTTTAAATATTCCAAATGTTTTATTATTGTGTATTATACTGTTGTAGCCACACGTTTTGAGAAACAAACTCACTCAGAAGGACAATGCAGATAGTAGAGTGCAGTTTATTACACAGGTGGGCCCAAGGCAGAGTCTCCTCTTAGTCAAGGAACCCGAACCAACTTTTGTGAAAATCTTAAACACCTTAAGTGTACTGCTCAAGCCCACGTCCCTAAATTCCTTAAACCTAGCCTGGAAAGTGTTAAAGAGAGATACAATCAGGTTACAGCCATGATTCATAATCAGATGGGTCAGCTGGTTATACAATGTAGCCTACAACAAAGGGTGCCATAAAGATTACAGAGGTGATTGACTACATAGGGGATTATTACATTCTTTTTGGCCAGGGGAAATCTTGGTATGGAATCTGGTGTTTATCAGTCCAGGAGGCCAGTTCCACCATGGGTATGTTATCCCCATTGCTACCAGGCACATAGTTCAAAGCTCACTGAAAGTGCAAGATAGTTTCCTTCTTTTTCAAGATGGAGTCAGCTCGGCCTGTTCCTTTCCTCCCTCAATACTAAATGCAGATTCACGAATCATTAAAAAGCTAAAAAACTTTTAAGCTAAAAAGCTTCGGACAATCAATATTTTTAATGAAAAATAGGCATGCACAACCAAATCACTAACTTTCTGCAATATATGTACTGAACTACTTGTTCAATTCAGACAGTCTTTACATTTCAACATGAATAGTCTACAATGATAAATGCTGGATTGAAAAATCTGCTATCCATTGCAAAATAATAGCTAATACACAAAAAGCTAGAAGGCCTGCAGAGCGGGGGAGAGAGGCTAAATGAACCAAAATGTATTAAATCTTCTTCAAACGCCCTGAGACACTAAATTCAGAATTAGGGTTCCAAGAATATAAAGTGTTCATCTCTTTCAAGACAATTGAGTATTGAATTTCACGGTGATTATGAAATATTCTATAAACAGGTCCTTAACTTATGCTTGGCTTTCCGAATTTGAATACAGGGAACAGCCAATTCTTTTTCCTTGTTTACACCTAAAGCTGGTTTTAAAGACAACTCAAAGTGGAATTCCAGGCCCAACGATACCACCCCCATACTTTTACCCCACAGGCAGCTACTTAAGAGATAATAAGGAATTCAAGTGCACGGCCTGAAAGTCGTATTTCTATGCTAATTTTACAAGCCTCTAACTCGCAGGACTTGACAATTAAAGCTTAAAAATGGGGAACGGGGCTAGAGGATAAAGAGGCTCTTTCAAGACTTGCTTATTTTTTTAACTTCCAAAATTAAAACTGCAAAAAATTATCCAGTTACCAGCATTTACAACAGCTCAAATTTTCAGTTTAAACAATTATAGTGTTTCACTTTCTTTTTTTATTGAGGAGGTGGGGGGAGAGGGCGAGTCCCATCTCTTAAACTTGAGTAGTTTTTTCTGCTTATGTATGCTGACATGTTTCTTTACGCGCCCAAGGAAGTTTAGCCTATTAGCAGCCAGCGGGATGGTTTAGGAAGCTGGTATTCAAAAGTCTAAGTGTCTCTAAGTGGCAGCAGGTGCTGGCAGTGCCTGAGCCCGATCAATGGAGGGAAGGCAAGACATTTCTTATAAAGGGAAGACTAGAACCGCCCTTCCAAAGCATCCCAGAGGCGCTTCTAGCATCACTTGGCGGCAATCACAGCCAGGAGCAGGATGTGGCTTTATCTCGACAGCGCCAGCTCCGCAGAGCGCCCCGGCCCGCATCAGAGACGCGATCATTTGCGATTACATCTTCTCCACGCTCCGCAACGGATCAGGGCACAACTCCCCGTCTGCATCCCCAAGTCTCCCAGTTTCGCCCTTTCTCCCAACTCGCCCTCCGCCCCCAGCAAAGAAAGCACAGGGTGGCTACGCGGCATCCCTGGCCACAGGGGACGCGGCTCCTAGCAGCGTCTCCGAGCACTCCTGAGGTGGTCGGCACCGGCCTGGGCATCGCTCGACCCACCTTAACTTTCCAGAGGCGCCAATTCTAAATTCGCCGGACCTGCCGCCACCTCCTCCTCCACGCGCCCCTCGGCTCGCTCCCCTGAGTCTGTCCGCAACGCTCTCTCCCTCAGGAACTCCACTGCGCCCGGCGCGGCGGGAAAACCCCGCCAGGTGCCTCCCGGCCCGGGGGGCTCCCGTCGGACCTCCGCTCCCGCAGGGAGCCTCAGTTCGCCAACCGCCGTAGCCGCGCGCGCCCCTCACGCACACTCACCAGCCCCAGCCGGAGCGGCCATCTTAGCGCTCGTCTCCCGCGCCCCCGCTCCCAGCTCCCCGCTCCCCGGTGCAGCGGCGGCGGCCCGGTGGGGCGGCTACGTCAGTGATGACGCCGCGGCCGACCCCACCCCCAACCCCCTCCCGGCCTCGGCGGCGACTGCGGACCCGTGGGTGGCTTGAGGTGTGGGGAAACCCGGTGCCCAGGCGCCAACTAAGGCGTCCGGGAATGGACGTTCCCCTGCGCTCCCTGTGGCTCAGCTCGGAAGGCAGAAGCTCCTCCTGGGCGGGCTTCGCACCTGTCGTAGCCGTCGGGGCCTGGGAGAGGACATCAACTCCAAGCTAGTGAGATGCAAAATATTCCCCAGACGTTTACCCCTTCATAGAATTTCTGCCTCTCAGCGTCGAATTGGTTGACAGAAACGCGCAGCCATCTCGTTTTCTTCGGAATCTGCCTACATTGACTGGCTTAGAAAGTTTTCAAGAAAACGTTCCCTTCCCGAGGAGGCAGCCGGGTGTGAGCTCAGCTGGCAGTGACTGCTTTGAATTTGGCTTCCTCAGACGGCAATTGGGCAAATAAGTTTCCAGAATGGGAAGTAAGATGTAAGGGACGCGGAAGTTGCCTCTGTCCAAAATTACTTTACCCGAAATTGCCGATTGAAGGTAATGAAGTAGTTTCCGAAAAAAACGAAGTGAAGAGACTGAGGGAGAAAAATCTGGAGAAAAAATCAAGCCTACAGGTACGGAAAGATTAATCCAGTAGTATTTATTGAGCTTTTCTTATACTTTGCGCTGGGTTCTGAGCCATTTGTGCTCCGCTACCTCGTGGAGAGGATGGAAAATGGCAAGACGCGAGAACCAGCGATACAAACGTGCAAAGTTAATAATACGTTAGTGGAGTACAATATCTTGCAGTATATATGCAAGCAATACAGTTGCTCATATCTTTTAATCAATAGTTCCACTTTGGGAAATATCTTTAAATGGCTTTTTTAAAAATGAGCACACAAAGGTATTCATGGCGTATTATCCAAAACTATCCCCAAAACAAAGATTTGAAGGGAAAAAAATTCTAACGAAAGGGGAAAGTCTAACATCTAGGATGCTGGCCTCGGGAATTCTTCTGCAGATCACAAAATGGTAATAGCTTTATCAATTAATAGTTGAAAGATACCAAATATGTACAAAGAGGTTCAACTGCATAACATGTAATATTCACTAAAGGCTAAAGATAAGGAATGAATTTGTATGGCTTAATATGCCTTTCATTCCTTTTTCTATATACTTAAGTGCATAATCTTTCCAATTCAAGGCTGTCCCCCCAAGTGTATTCCTCCCACTCAAAACACACACTGCTGTCTTGTAATCTTCCCAATCATCTTCATTTCTAAAATACACTGAATTCATTATGTGAGAGAATCTCTTAAAAGCAAATATTTCTTATAAGTATTTCTAGCATATGGTATAGATTTCCCTGTGGTTCCTAGTAAGCAAACTATAACAAGTTAAAATCCTTGCTCCTATTTTAAAGTCATAAAACCCTTTCTGAAAGTTCATTGACTTCTGAAAAGTCATTTGGCAGACTTTATCAAGATTGCCACCTCTGTAAGTAATTCAACTTTCAGAAATCCAAAAAGTTTTTACCTGAGATTCAGGCAACTTAGAAGGCTACTCCTCTCACTGTTATTTACAATAGTGAAGATCAAAGACATGTTAACTGTTCATCATTGTTGGAATAGTTAGGTACATCTGGAATATTCACAGGACAGAATATTATATAGTCATCAAAAATCTTATTTTCAGAAAGTAAGAAATGAAGGAATATAGATCAAGATAACTGTGTCTGCCATTCCCATTCTGTAGGAAACTTGTTAAAGCTCTCCACAAACACCATGCAAGGAGAAAGAGGGACTGAGGTGGACTGAATGATGGTTTAAAGGTGCATTGAGTAGGCAAGCGGTGGATGCCAGGCAGCAAGAACCACAAAGGAGCAAAAGTTATGAATGATCAGAGGCTACAGGGAGTAGAGACTGAATTACAGGGAGGCAGCAGTAGCAGGGGTCTTAGAGTAGAACTACTTGAATTCTAGGAGCCTCCAAAAAACTGTATGAAAGTAAAAACTAAAAGCGAGATGCAAAGATATACTGAGAGGGAGGGGACATATGTATACCTTTGGCTGATTCATGTTATATATGATAGAAACCAACACAACAGTGTAAAGCAATTATCCTCCCATTAAAGATAAATTAAAAGATATGTACTGCATTTTAAAATATGTGAAGATTATTCACATTTAACATTTGGAAGGAATAAATCAGCATTTTAGTAATGGTGGCGAGATTACAAGGAATTTTTGTTTTTACAACGATCATTTTTAAACGCTTAGAATGAGTACCATCAGTAATCAAAAATTCTAATTTTGAAAATAAATCCTATGTTGTTGTGTGGTCAAAGTCCCTAGTTGCCAGAATTTCAGAGAATTTTCTGAGATCATAAATGCCCTTAAGGTCTTGTAAGGACTAAAATAATTTGATGACTTGACTAAATGAACAGCAGGAAGTAAAATGGCAAGAAGATGAAGCAAAATCAAGCTGAGTAAGGCATAGGTGAAGAGTACTGAAAAGGATGTCCTGAATAACATCTCTTTGATACAAAGGTGTAAACTAGGGAGAAGTGCTGAATGGGAAGGGGGGACTGGAGAGAAATTATCTGGAAATCATTGTTAATTGGGCTAATAATTAAAGAATAGTAAGTAACGGGATAGTTTGTAACATAGCCTTTTCCTATTATTACTGTCTATTCAACTTTGAAATTTCTTCAGCTACCATTTTATTTCAGGTCTTACCAACCTAAGCCTAAAATATGGTATATCTAACTTGTTTCCTGAGCATCAGGACCTCTCTATTGCAATCTCATTGTTACATAGCTATCATAAAAATCATGTAATTTCTCTGTTTATTGTTTACCCACCACATCAAATCTAAGCTTTTAATAACAACCACAACAAAAATCTCTGTCCCTTCCCATCTTTATCAACTGACTTCCCCAAACTTATCAGTTGTATTTTCAAAATCAGTCCTTTCCCAAATCCGCCTTTTGACTGCTAGAAAGTCAGTCTCCTTAAGTCTCCCACACTTCGGGCTTTTCCCACATTTAAATCAGGGCAGATGTTTATCTCCCAAGTAGAAAGCCCTTTAACTTTCACTCCTGCAGATCATTAAAATCAACCTCTTTGGGAGCCGGCCTAAAAGCTCTCACCTCCTGGATACCACTTTCCTAGTAACAACTGGACTTCCAGGTTCCCCATCCCCCACCCCACACTAGTATATTATGCAGTCAACAGCTTTTGTTCCGAGTTTCGCGCCTGGTTCTCTCTCTTTGCATTGTAACTTCTTTAGGGGCGAGGACAGTGCACTTGACTCCATTCGTATATCTCACTCAGTACAGTGCTAACCAAAAATAGCCTTAAAATGTTTAATGAATAAACAAAATCAAAAATTCTCTAGCACAATATGAAATTGTGGAAAAAATGTGGAGGGGTTTCCCTTGTCTCCACAATCTCCATATGGGGAAAAAATGACAACTTGCCCTTTTCCCAAGATAAGCAGTTTCCTAAACAAGATTAAAATTTAATGACTCTCATACTCAATTCTGAGGCCATATACATATTCTTCTGAAGTGGGTGCAACACAAACGTTTCTATATCCTGAGAAGAAGATATGAATGAATTAAAGGAAGACAAATACACTGCAAATTTTGCAAACATTAGAGTTGCTTTTTATGCTTTGTAGAATTTTCTAGTCCAGTCTTTCGTGAATGAATTTATGAGCTTGTTAACTTTGAGGAAACTACTTCCAAGGATTTCCAGAGTTTTACATACTGAATGTTCGTATCTAAAGTTATATACAGTTATTAAAGTTATGACAAATATTTTTTGAGTACCTATGAGCCTGGTACCATGCTAGGCACAGAAATGTCCACAGCCTTCATTGACATGTTACAGGAGATCAAAGATTAAATGGAGGAAGTGGGCAAGAATACTGAAGAACTAAAACCTAAAGTTTGATTAACTTGGAGCAACAGAGTGCAGTGCATAAATTTTGTTTTTAATGAGCTACCCACAGAACCTTAAATTTGTGAAAAATATGTTAGAAAGAAGTTGAGAGAGCAGGGTTGAAACAGAACAGCAGATGGCAAGATTTGACCTCAGTAAGTGAATAGAGAGAAAAGAACAGAAAAAAAAAAAAAATGGCTTTAGAACTCCTGTTTTTTAAAGAAAATCCTAGGAAAGAACAAGGATGGTGGCAGATAGGGGAGGTAAGTGAAAGTTGAGAAGTAGGTGCTACCAAAGCTGATTTAATTTTAAAGGATCATTAAGTGTTTATTTAGAGGTCTTGGAGGTGAATTACCAATGTAGGCCTACTGAAACTGCAACCAAGCCCAGGATTTTGGCATTAGTGGAAACAAAATTGGAAGGCTAGAAAGTCTCTTCTTTTAACATCCTCACTGCCTCTACCCTATTCAGTTTCTTACAAATCCTCAGGCTGCTTGTGCCCAGGGCTTTACCTCAGTCTATCAAGACTTTTCTGTCCTTCTTCCCATCAAACTTTTCCGATTTTGTTGTAGGACAAAAAGTAATCCCAACCTTCCATTTTTCTAAGGAACCTAATTAGCATATACTAAACTGACCCACTTGTAATGTAATAGCATCCAGTAATCATTTTTGCATTTCTCTCTATTTAGGCCTATGCTCTAATGGAACTTCTTATAGATACTTGTAGAGTATGGACTTGCTAGGGCTTCCCAAGTGGCACAGAGGTAAAGAATCTGCCTGCCAATGCAGGAGATGCAAGAGACACAGGTTCAATCCCTGGGTTGGGAAGATTTCCTGGAGGAGGAGATGGCGGGGGGTGGGAAGATTTCCTGGAGGAGGAAATGGCAACCTACTCCAGTATTCTTGCCTGGGAAGTTCCATAGACAGAGGAGCCTGGTGGGTTTCTGTCCATGGGGTTGCAAAGAGCTGGATGTGACTGAGCACACACGCACACACATGGACTTTCTAAATGAAATTTTAAGCATTATAGCAGATTAGTGTGGTAAAATATTTTCTTAAGCCAAGACACATTTCCAGGGTGATAAGCTGTGTGTGTGTGTGTGTGTGTATATACAGTTGACCCTTGAAA